CTGAGCGCCGGTCCCACGACGCACCAGAATGGGCCGCAGGCAGCGCTCGACGGTCGACAGGCAGTCCCGGCCAGCGGGGCAGGGGCGGCCACACCAGCCCACCACCCAAACCTCGCCGTTCAGGCGTTTAGGGACGCGCATCCCTCTCACGCCGGGCGGCAAGGGAGCGCACGAAGAAGTAAGCCGCTGCACCGGCGAGCGGCATCATCTGTCCTTCGCCGGTGGCTGCCTGGTGCTCAATGTCCCCGAGCTGCGCCAGGTTCGCGACGGCGAGCTGCTGGAGGTCGCCGTGGACGATCGGCTCGGTGGACTGAGCGCCGGGAGCCTCCATCGCGCGGATGAGGGCGCGCCACTCCGCCGAGCACAGCTGCTTACGCTCCTCGACGAGCGTCCTGTACTCTCTGTGGGCAGCCGCCGCCACAGCCGCCGACGCATTGCGAGCCGGCTTGCGGGGGAGTGCCGGGAACCCCTCGCCGGTCTCGCGGTTGGCATGCGGGTAGCGCGCCTGGACCGGCGCCGGTGTCGTGGCCGGCTTGGGGAAGCGAGCCCTTGCCGGCGATGCGCTCCTGGATCTCGCGCATTCGCCTGTCTTCGGCCGCCTTGGCGTCGGCCTCCGCCAGGTAGCCGGCTAAACACGCGGCTGAGGTTCCACCTGCAGCTCGCCCCGCCCCATGGCAGCATAGAACGCCAGGACCGACACGTAGTCCATGGCCGCCGCTGCCTCGACGTGCTTCCTGGACTGAAACCCCACTTCACGCCAGGTCGCCGGGGGTGGCGACTTGCCGTACACTGCCGGGATCCGACCCGCCAGCGCTTGCGTCCAAATGGCTCACAGGCTCGGACGCGGGCTGTATTACAGTGGACGGCGCCGGCGAAGCCGACTTGGCCGGTGACACTGCCGGTGCCTTCTTCACCGGTGGCGACGCCTTTGCCGCGGCCTTTGCGTCCGCGACGGCGGCCTCCGCCGATCCCAAGCTCATAGCCAAAGCCCGCCGCTAAGTAGATCGCCAGGTCGGCGCCGGAGTCCAGGGCACCCTGGATCACCTTCACCGCCGCCTGGATCGGCCGCCGAGTACGCCATAGCGACGCAGGAGGCTAAGAGAGAGCTGAAAGTCGGGATCGACGTGGAGCCGCCAGACGCTACGGCACATACGTTGATCGCTGAACTTGTCCCTACACACACACGTGTGTTTTACGGCAAAAGACCGTGTCACGGCACAGCGTCCGAGCTGTGCGAACTCCAAGGTCTCTAAAGCCAATCGCCTGACGCGGCGATCGGAGACCTTCAGCAACTTTAGTCGGTCGCTCGCCGTGTCCAGCCAGAAGTGCTGGGACTGGATCCTCCATCATGCTCTTTCTGGAGTCGGTGTTCCAGATGTCCACTCTGTGTTAGCCACGAACAGTGCCGAAACGTTGCCGACTTGCTGCCGAATACCTTCGAAACTGCCGCACGCTCGTGCCGCCTCGCTGCCCTCGACGGTTCGCTTCGACACCGGAAACCTGCCCGAAGTTTTTGTCAGCGTTTTTCAATCGAAATCGGTCCGAAAACCAATGCCTACAAAATGTTAGTTGCAGGAAAGCGAGTGCCAAAGATCGTCATGCTACAAAGCTTGAGATCAGTTCAATCCAAAGTTTTGGAATTTTTAAAAAGGTATACCTTGAGGCTACAGGACATCCCTCCATAAGAACGACAAGAGCGGAAGCGACATCAAAAAAGAAGAAAAAGAAAACCACAAAACAGAAGTCACACGAAACTTAAACTTTTACCGAAATTTTTGGTGTTTGAATGAAAGAAAGTTGAACAGACAACTCCAATTTTCAGATTCTCGATTGGAGTCAAAGCTCTGTTTTGCTTTTCAACCTGGAGCAGGCAAAACGGAGCCAATCCAGGGACTGCTCTTTTTTTCGACCCCGGAATGTCTTTTAAGCAATCTTTTCCTCCGGAGAGCACACACAAGGGAGATGAAGCAAATCGCAAATCAGAAGTTCGGAAAATTAGAAAACAAAAGCCAAGCAGGGAAAACAAAGAACAGCCGTGGGTGGAAACTTGCACTTGTTTTGCACAGGTTTGTTTTGACATGGTGAAAGCACATTTCGAAACCATTGTCTTGTCGGTCGGTTGGTCGTTACCGAGCCTCCGCGTGAGCTTTGTAGACTTCTGAGTTGTTTTGAGTTGACTTAAGCCTGTTTGCTTTCGCCAGAGCTACAGCAGGATGCCTAAGAGGCATCAGGAGCCAGTTCTAGTGTTTAGAGAGCTGA